TGTTCGTTTAATTCTTTTAAATTCTAGTATCAAAGCAATATACTAACTTTCTTTGGAAAATTAATACTCTTTGTCTACGAATACTTTTCCTGATCAGTGTTTGCAAATCCGCGTGCGTTCTTTCTTCTTATTCCCCCGCAATCACTACGAAGATTCTCTTAACAAGAGAGCATCCGGCGAATCACTCGTTCTCACCTGAATATACTTGTAAGGTTGAACATTCACAATGAAGGCCGAGTCGTTTCCTGTCGGACAGTGTATCTCGGTGTCGCTGCTGTGGCTCGGGTAGCAGCTGCAGGACTGCGCCGGGCACTGAATATCGAAGCCGTTGCACGTGATGATGATTACCAGTAAAACGACCCACCAGTGACCTATCATTCTGCAGACTCTGGCACGTGTACTCGTCCGCTAGAAAAGAAAATTCATAGGTCTGAATGGGAGGCGCGTTGGCACAAACGCAATTAAAGTCAATGGCGAATACGTGAATCGGAAACAACGGTAGGTCGGCTCAGATAAAAGCATAGTGGCTTCCTTATTTTGATGATAAGCGTACCGTAGTTCGCGTCGGGAAACTAATATGTATCTTAAAATATTTATCAGATACTGCCATTCCACAATTTCATTTCATGAAATAATATTCTGTGTGTTTACACGAGGATAGGGACGAAAATATCGTACAAAGAAGTTTGATATGCACACACCAAATATTCGTTATGATCAAAACAAACAGGAACTCTAATATATTTGTAAACAGTAAACGTTTCCTTACACTTCACGTATTTGCGAATACCACAAGCGTATAATACGATGTAGTTCGAACATTAGACATCGGATTTTACGAATTTATTTTAGCATACGCGAGTATACAAATGTTTAACAAGATGGAGAAGTCTGTAAAACTTAAATACGCTTTGTTCACGACATGCACGTCGCCCGTTCTTGCCAATCGACGTAATGGCGCCAATACTATTTACTTCATTTACAACTTATTCGCTTATTTAATCTTTTAACCTTGTCGATTCACGTGCGAAGAATTCTTTTTATGTTATCAGCTGAACACTCAATGATATTTAGATATCACGTTGCAATCGGAAGAATTTTTAGCATGCAATATTAAAGTACCTATCAATGGCTGTAGCATCTTTGCCAGTTGCTGGCGGAAATTTCATTCAAAAGTCTCGAACGTGGCCATCAAATATCTTCTTAAAGAAATCTTACATCCTCTTTTCGGTGTGTACAAAACAAACAACACCGGAACAAAAATATTAATGGAATTCACTCCTTTCCATTTTCGAAGTACCCCACAGTCACTGTAGGGTACGCAGAAATTTCATTCTTTTCAAATTGAAGACGACCAGAAAGACAACAAATTTTGATTGTTTCGATCAGTGATTTGCTTTCGTCGTTCAAAAAATACGGTGTGATCTTACCGTAATTTTTCTGTGAATGACACTCTTCTGGGGAATTTAATAACTGGGACTTCTTGTTCTAGTTAGAGCTAAGCCCTGCATCCTCTTCATCAGCTTTTCTCGAAAGTTCGGCTGCTACCGTCTGCGGGTGCAAATAGACTTTTCCATGAAGCTATGATCATACACGTTGCCATACGTTCAAAGATTCTATATCATCAGTTTAAACATCTATTGAGGTGGAATCTTTCGTTTCGGATACTTTTCAACGTACTCCTTCGGCTGAGCCGTAGGTGAACGCTATGTCCGTCATTTCTACGACCGCGTACTCGTCCGTCATCTTCTGTTGATCTTCGAACCGGATCACTGCTCTGCCTAGTGAATCATTTCACTGACAAAAACATTTAAAAGAGATTAACGTGTTTTTATCTCTTTGTATGATCTTTCTTATTATCTCTTCCTCTTCGTCGGGAATTAATATTCCATTTCCAGTACGGTAATGGCTTCATATTAAACGTTCGCGTTCGACGAAATCGTATTACGTGAACGAAGAAATTGCAAGCCACTGTTTTTCAGTCGTAGTTCATATGGAGAAAGAACGAAGAAAATTGAACGATATCGAATAATGATACGAGTTAACCTGTTAGCTGTGGAATTTAGTTTCAAAAATCTCTCGTTTCGCACGGAAGAAAATAAAAAAATTAAGTGTGTACTACCTGCACACTATGATGTGCACCTAGGGTATATTTTAATGAAAAACCAAAGCAAAGCAAAGAAAAATTACATGTTTATCTGAAAAAAATAAACAATTCATCGTTGAGAGAATTAGTATCATTTCCAGCTTTAAGATGACGTGTATTCTCACCAAACGCAGTTAACTGATTAAATTCTTATTTTCTAGATGATATAAATACATGTAAAATACTGGGTGGTCTTTGTGTTCGTCAATCTTGATTGGAAGTCGATGGATTAAGTCGCCTTGTCGTGCTTCCAGCATATTTCATTCGTAAACTAAATAGAAATCAGATTAAAAACTATTACCGGAAGGTCGCATCTCCCTTATATTCACAATCGAAAACTTTATCTACCACGTTGATAAAAGTTTCAAAAATTTTTCTCCGCGTCCACTGAAATCCTCGAAATTATTTTTTCAATTATATTACACCTCAATTTCTTATTGTATAGATTATTCGAATGTGTTTAAATATCTAAACATAAATTTTATGAATATCTACTATCCGCGAATCCGCGGCGGGGTATCGGGAAATGATTGATCGTGCATTATCGAAGACAATCGACTTAATCGAAGTGTATCATTCGCCGATTTATCTTTGTGAATGTTTTCTGCCTTATCTCTTATCTATTTCGATGCCAATTCCCTCACCTCTTCTTTACCTCGGCAAGAGCGAAAAGGAAAGTTTATTAAGCACGCGTGTCGTTCCGCGAAAAGGGTGTAACTTTATAATTACTATATGAATCGTAACAATTTCTGCTATATGCATCGATAAACCGTTCAAATTTGTCCTTTAAATCATTTCTGTAATAAATTTACTTCTGCAAAAACTCATCGTTTCCATTTACATACTTCCAAAGAATTATGAATCTTAATAAAACTTAGCTACAGACTTCGAAGTAACGTAGGAGTGAGTGTTTCCGACATACTATTAAAATATGTATAATACCGTAGCGTCGTTATCAATTTCAAATACGTTAATTTTAATTAATAATTTTTAAAAACATCGTTAATCGTTAATTATTAAGAATACAGTAACTTTTAGTAGCTCAAGCTAATAAGAAGTGAAAAAGGAAGGGGTGAATAATGCTTTATAGCTTAATCGTAACAAACTTGTTTATTCATCAGTGATCGTGTACTTCAATGATTGAATCGAGTTCGGAAGATTTTTCGTTCGGAAAACGGGAAGAATGCGTTTCTGCGACATTACTCCCCTCCCAATCCCCGTGATGATTGTGTATTCGAAAGGACATGCTTGTCACGCATTGAATCCTCCTTACGCAGCTCCGTTCCTGCCGCGACGTAGATCCGGGCTAACGACCCACAGGCACGTTTCGCTTGAGACGAGATATGCCTCTCTTTTCCGCGACTGGTTGCAGGATGCGTAATGCGCGCACTGGTGAACATGCGAAACGTGCTTTCACGGAGGCCGAACGTGAAATGAAAACGTTAAAAGGGAAGAAAGAGGAAAAATCCCGTTCGGTTTTTCGAGTAGAAGCGATTACGTGATCGCCAAGACTGACACTGGCTCGTTTACGCGTTGGAATTATTGATGCTTGAATGAAAATTTCGGTATCTAAGAACTTTATCAGGTGAACGAAAATGTCATATTCGATATGTTTCTGCTTTTCAATTTTGTGCGGTTGAAAAACAGAAGATTGATTGAAGATTAAAAGTTTGGATTTTTGTGTAGCTATCTTGGGTATTTGAAAATTCTTTTCGATTATTGCTAATATTTCATAATTATTTAAAGAGAAATGGAATGACTGAAAGTGATTTCGAATGTTAGAAACATTGTCCTGTTTTATTAAGCATGGGCAAATTTTCATTATTTAAGATCACATTGAAATCGAGTTAATTCTCGCAATGGTTAGGACGTTATATGGATGGAAATATATAGTTCAGAACAAAAAGAAGATCAGAGAGATTTTCTGGAACATGGCGCCCGTCTTGAATGATACAGCATTTATGACGTCAATTGTAACGGAGGAATCTTGGATGCCTAAATGAGAGATTCCGTATTCTTGCGTAAAATAATACAATACAATACAATGGGGAACTGATAAGTAAAATGTGGGCATTGACGAAGAAGATTTAAATTGGTTACATCAATTTTTTAAGTAAAACGCTTAGAAATTATTTTCAGTTTAATTAGTATATATCATACTATCTCAGCTTAGGAAATTACATTCTAATAACGAGAATACTATTAACATGCAATTAGTTTTTTAAAATGCTTCTTGAAGTACAAGATAAAGCTCCGAATAGTTTGAAATGCAACAGAATGCACCGTGTGTTTAGATTTGCTTAACGACCCAGTTTATACACTCGAGTACTGTGATTAATATTTTTTAAATACATTAATGTGTTATCTTACTGTCATTGTTACATTCGACAAATGTTATTAGGGCATGTAATCGTTCATAAGTGATGAAGAATTAGTTATGTAGTTTATTAATAATTTTTATTGTTATCTTTGAGCCGTGATACTAACATTTCTCGAATACTTTTAACACATGTCTTGATGAATCATGATAGATAATAACTTGTCTAGACGATCAATATAATAGTTCAAAACAAGAGTAGAGATACGATTAATAATCTTTCGAATCTAGATCCAATACGATCTGATTTACGCTGGGAATCTGTTTATACCTGCGTCAAATTACGAAAATGATAAAGCTACCACAGATACAGAAGTCGATAATTTGCTAAGAAAATAATCTACTAAATTTCTGTAGGGTTTCCTTGAAATATGCGCGTACTAACATGTGTTTTACTATATTTACGTATTACAATGAAATTAAAACAATTCCTCAATAAAGTTTCAATTGATATAAACCCTTTCAATGGAATTCGTGCTCGCAGATGTGTACTTATAATACATAACAAACACTGCGAATTATAAACAGGTTCGGCAACGTCCAATTTTATCATTCATAAATTAAATGTACCACCGATTTCTTTCCTTGAACTGAAAACTCGTTTTTCATAACGTTCTGCAATATAGCGCTGTTTCTTCTTGCTATCTGTAGAATATTAAGTGTAGTCACTCGATAATTTTGGTGATACGATCAAGATATCTACATCTGGGGTGTATGGGGTGATGCGCGCGGAATGATAATTTTTTCTTCAAGTCCGCAGTGGTCTGAACATCCGTTTTTTATGGTCAAAATTCAATTTTTAGAGTTTAACATTTGGAAAAAACTGTTTTCTCTATAAAATGAAGACACTCTAAAACTCAGAAATCCAAAATATTATTCATTTTA